TTTGACCGATTTTCCGGTCAACGCATTCACCCTGGTAAAGTGGCTGGGTGGGCGCTCGCCGATGAGCTGCACGCTGCCGTCACCCAGCTCACACTGGCGGATCGCCCCCTCCGAGTGGTCGATTCCTTCAAGCTCGTCGGGAGTTACATCAACGCCGAGGCAGCGCCGGCTCCAGCCGCGCTTAACCTCACGGCCACCGCAGACGCCCGTGTGCGGAGGGCGACTATCCGCCTGCCGAGCATTGGCAAGCTCCCGTCGCCGATGCTTATCAAGGCGCGGCACGCCCGATCCCTGGCCGCCAGCGTCTGCACCACGGGCACCGACATCCAAGCACCATCAGGCCCAGCCAAGACTGCCTACAACCACGCTCTCAAGGCGGCTATCCGCCCCAAGGGGAACAAATGGGTCGAGTTCTGGACTCTCATGGCCGTGTGCGTGCCGGGACACGCCCTTGAGATCGACGCCATCACGCAGCGTGAAGCATTCCTGTGCCTGCGGCGACAGGTTAACCGCGACGTTACACTCTGCGGGCTCGCCAGAGACCTCCAACACCACGTCCAGACCCTGTTTGGTGGAGGACCCGTCGGGCGACTCGTCCAGTCGCTCCAGCAGCTCCGATGGACCTGGCCCACATCTGGCATCATGTACGACGACTGGGGCTGCCCGATCAGCTGGCTGAATTTACCCCAAAACGCCTTCCTGCACATGCTGCGGGCCTCACAACGCAGGGCATTTCTGCGGAGGATCAAGCCACGGCGACACGACCTTGGCTACCTCGCCTCTGTCAGACAGGGCCTTGACCTCTTCGCCAGCACGTGGCTCGCGCGAACTAAAGGAGCAGCCAGATGCACTGCCTGGCAGCTGGCGCTCCTCCTGAACTACCTGTCGGGCGGGGACCACACCCAACAGCGACGATCCCGATCAAACACGTCGGCAGACCCCAGCCCCATGTGCCGCTACTGTGACGAGGAAGAGGAAACTCAGGAGCACACTGTCCGCGACTGTATGTGCTGGGCCCGAGAAAGACTCCCTCTCACCACCCTCATCAGTGACGACCAGTGGGCCCGTCTTCCGCCGCACACAAGACACTGCGGGCTCTTCGACGAAGACCCAGCCCTCCTCGACCTGCACGCCGACCTCGCGAGGGACCCGCTGCCACAGCCCATTCCGCGGCCCTCCCCTGAGGGTGATCCTGCGGCTTCAGCCCAGGACACCTACACCACCTACCTTGACTACGACACTGGGTGGACATGGGTCTATGCTGCCACGGACGGTGCGTGCACCAACCAAGCCATCCCATTGCTAGCACGAGCGGGCTACGGCGTCTACTACGGCATCGATCACCGCATGAACTACAGTGCACGCGTTCACGGCCTAACACAGAACGCCCAGGTTGCGGAGACCCTCGCCATTGTCCACCTTACGGCATGTGCCGAACGGCCCGTGCATGTTTTCGTGGACAACCAGGCGGTGGTCGATGGGTTCCAAAGCATCATCGACGGACATCCAGCGCCGCAGGGCACGCACGCGGAGCTCTGGGAAAAGATCCACCGATGTGTTATGGCCAAGCCCAACATGTTTCGCGTCGAAATAATCGCCAGCCACCTGGGAGACCTGGGCATCGACCTTGGGCTCATCGGGCCCATCGCGGAGGAGTTCAACCGTCAGGCCGACGCCCTTGCCACAGCGGCGGCACGCACGCACAACCTTCCTGACGACTTTGTTGAAGCTGCCAAAACACGACATCGCCAAGCGACCGTGCTTCATGGGGTCGCTGTCGCTATCTACGAGCGCAGACACCGTACTCTGCCGCTCCCACACCGCAGGGCTGGGTTTACAGCGGCTGAACTCAGCAAAATGGAACCGAACCCCTTGCTGTCGGACCAGGCACCACCCGCGGCTGGACCAGACATCCCGCAGAACCCGGACGAGCTCTGGGCCGAGGCCCAACGGGCGATGTACGACGAACAGGAGGACGACCCGTTCGGCTTCGGCGGGGGATTAGACTTCCTGGACGACGGGCCAGCCAGCGCCAACCCTGCCCCGTCGGGCAGCCTCTCGACGCCCACCTCGACTCCGCCACCGAGAGCGACATCGCACCCACATGATGACGTCGCTCACCGTCAAGACGCCGACGAGGACCTTTATGACCCCCTCGGATTGAGTGGCAGCATAGACGACGCCCCGCCGACACCCCACGCTGCCGACGATGCCGCTTCATCGAGACGCCACCCGACCACGCGGCCGACCTCCGAGCCCTCGCACGGCATCATGATTGGTCCCCCCGTGCCACCCACCCCGTCCCCCCACAGCGCCAGCCCGCGGGGGCGGCTCCAGCCCCCCCGCAGGGCACTGAGCCAGTCAGGCCGTCGCACCCCGTCCACGCTTTTATTGTTGCTGGGTGCGAGGCTGCGGCTCCTCCGTCCTCACGGGGCGTGGCCCTAGCGGCTTCAGCCCTGGGACCGCGCGTTGCCCTCCAGTCGCCTCGCAAGGGCGACGGCCGCCAGCACACGGATCGCCGCACCGCGCTGGTCCACCACCTGGCCAGGCGCACAGATGACCTCGTCCCCGCCACGAGGCCCGCGGCCGCAGGCACAGAGCAGCCGCCCCTCACCGACCGCGAAGCCGAGCTGTCCCAGTCTATGGCCGCTCTTCAGCAGAGGTGTGCTGCTCTCGCCGCCGACCTTGCCGCTGCTCAAGCTCGTCAAGGCCCTCTGCTCCAGCGCCTCCACCGCGCTGGGCGTGCCTTCGCCGAGCTGCTTACACCCTCGCCCGATGGTGCTGCGCCGCCACTCACCCTCCATGCTATGCTGTCATCGCTGCGCGGCGCTCCGCCTGGGGCCCCGCGCTAATCTCCGCCATTCTGCCTGCCCGTGTGCACGCGTGGCCCCGCGTCCACGGTGTCAGGGCGTGGGGGCGGGGGGTGCCCCGTCCCTGCGCGCCGCGTTGCGGCCAAGCGCCCAACTGGCGGTCTGCCAAGCCGCCTAGCCACGTGTCAGCACGTCGCCTTTCTTGTTGGGGCCTTCTTCGTCACGCGGTCTGACACGTGAGATCTTCACTGTCTGTCCGCCGTCTGTAGCGTCAGTCGCATTGCGCCGGGGGAGGGGGTTTGTTGCCCGCCCTCGTATCTCAAGGCTGCACCGCCGCAAATAGTGTTTGGCGGGTTGTCGCACCGCAGTGCGCCTCGCGGACGGGCCCTGGTCCGCCTACTTGTCCGGTCTCTCTCTCTCTCTCTCTCTCTCTCTCTCTCTCTCTCTCTCTCTCTCTCTCTCTCTCTCTCTCTCTCTCTCTCTCTCTCTCTCCCTGCCCCTGCCTCTGCTGCTCTGTCTCCCCCTTTCCCTCCCGCTCAAGCCTTCGGGGCTCGAAGCCCTCCCAGGGCCTCCTGGGGCCCTTTTTTGCCCGCCCACCCTGGGCTTTGCCCCGGTGTCTAACGGCGCCGGCGGCGAGGCCCGCTTTGCGCGGCGGAAGGAGGGGCCCGCCTGGCGCCCCCGTTGGCGGGCGCCAGCGGGAGGAGCGCGCGGCCAGCGCAGCGGCAGAAAGGTTTCGCTCTGCACCGCCATCGCCGGCATCATCATCTCCTGAGGGCCCGCATCCAACCGCTTCGCGGCTCGCATGTCCCGCGGCCTGACAGCAGGCCGCGCTTTCGCTAGCGCCGTACTGTGGGGGCAGGGTCTTCGCCGATTGCACAGCAAACAAGGGATCAAGCTATGCGACTGACATTCGGGAATCAAGGTCTTCTATGACACCCGACTCGGTGGATTGAGGATGGAGATTCAACGCATTGAGAGGGGATGTACGGGAGGTGTAGGATGTCAGAGGTGGCGCGAGCGCCTCTAATTGTCCTTTTCCTTGCTACGAGTGCTCAATTTGAATAACACTACGCTCCTCGCTCCCCTGGAGTTGTCGGGGTGTGGTCCCGCCCCCTCCGCATATGGTGGTTTCATTCAAGATTTCAACATTTGATACGTCCCATACCCTTTTTATATTCCGATCTTTTCGTTTTTTGTTCATAATGGTACTCTCGCTGCAGCGTGGGCCTCATTTTCGGATCTTCGCTGTGCTCTCGTCGTTCAGACAAGCGCTCTTGCCTCAGCTTGGGCTACTTTTCTATCCCGCAGGCCTACAGGTCTCGCAGTTCTTGCAGGCCCCACAGGTCCCACAGGTTCCGTATAACTCAAAGGTGTCGCAGGTCGTTCCGCAGGTGCCACGGGTCCCAAAGGTACCACAGGTCAGACAGGTTCCACAGGTCCCACAGGTCCCTCAAGTGTCACAGGTCTCGCAGGTCCCACAGGTTTCACAGGTTCGACATGTGCCACATGTCCCACAGGTCGCAGAGTTGTCGCAGGTGTCGCAGGTCCCACGGAGGTCCCCCGGGCCCCGCAGGTCCCACAGGTCCCTTTGGTCTCACAGGTCTCACAGGCCTCGCAGGTCACGGAGGATCCTCACTTCCCCCAGGTTCCATCGGTCCCACAGGTGTCGCAGGTCCCACAGGTCACAAATGTCCCCACAGGTCGCACAGGTCCCGAAGGTCCCGCAGGTCCCGCAGGTCCACAGGAGTCCCACATCTTCCACAGGTTCCACAGTTCGCACAAGTCCCAGAGTTCCCGAGGTCGCCTTTGCTGCTATCATTTTGTTTTGCTGGGGTGATGGAGTTCCAGGTCGCTATGACACGCGTCCGCGGATGGAGAAATCAGCGCAAATGGAAGAGACGGGAGGGAGGGATTGGATGTCAGTGGGGGCCTCCTTTGAAATCCATGGGGGGACCTTGGGCAAGGGGCACTTCTAGCAACACCCGACTCCTGCTCCTCCCTCCCTGGTTTGTGGACTTCACGCTTCAGTCGTCCGCCAGCGGAAAAGGCTGGCAGCAGGCGGCCCAGGCGATTCATGCATGCCCTGAAGGTGGACGCGAGGAAAGCCAAGCCATCTTGAAGAGGCTCACGGAGGGTTCGGGGGACGCCAGGTACACAGGGGGGATCGTGCTCGTCCCATGTAGGGATGCTGGCGGATGCACCGTAGCGCACCCGACAGGCGGGAGCCAGCGGATTGGTCGTTCACCCCCCTTCGCGTGCAATTACGCTGCTGGCTCGAGAGTTTCGCGAGAGAGCTCAGGTCACTCGCGTTTCTGGGAGCCAGGATCTCGCCTTTGTTTTTCCAGTGGCCAGCAGACAGGTCACATGGAGCATGGTCGAGGAATATGGTGACCCCAAGAGCGCACAACTTGCAAGGGGAGGCGGGCCGTTCCTCCTGAAGGATTCGCCTGATCTGGTCGAGCAGATTTTCAAACGAATGGGTTACCTCGACGATTACCGGAACCAATTGAAGGACGAAGCCGTGGAAACCTTCCTTCGTGGTGAAAGAAATCACCGAGAGCTGCAGAGGCTTGGGGTCGTCATTGGCGAGGCTGATTCGGTGCTGGACAAGCTGAGCAAGATCAGGCTGGCCTGTCTGTCAAGCTCGTGTGGCGGGAGGTGGCAGTTACCTCCTAGCGACAGGAACGTGAGAGAGCATTTGGTAGCTCGGGGCCTTCTGAATCGGGAAAGCTCACTGGACGAGACTTCCCAGGCCATGGAAGCGAGCGTGAAGTCTTCAGGTTCTGTACCGATGAAGTCCTACCACGGACTTGTTGCTCAGTATCAGGATGTGTTTTTTGGCCGGCGACAGGACCCCTCCAGGCGACGCTGATCCGTGGCACCTCCAGGTGCAGACCGCCCGCAATACAAATCACCGCAGCGTCCCCGCACGCCTCCGCCTCCCTCCATGGACGGAAGGCCCCGCTCCAGTCGCCCTCGCCCATCGCGCTCGATGCCAGGGCAGGCAGGCAGGCAGGCAGGCGCAGAGCCTCGCTGCGACCATTTCTCTCCGCGTCCTCGACGCCTCCCCCCGTTCGCTTCCCTCCTCCTCCGCCCCCGGCGCTGACACCCCCCCTCCTTCCCGCGGGGCCCCCCCACCTTTCCCCCCCCCCCCCCCCGCGCACTGGTACCTGCTGACGCCACTGTTTCGTGTTCTGGCCTCGTGCTTTCATTCGGTATTTTCTCGCCCCGCACCCAGCAGGGTAGTCACTTGCTTGCTCTTTCTCTGTGGATGAGGACAGGTAGCGCGACGGCCGTGCTATGCGCAAGACGTCGACGAGCTACTCCCAGTCTCAACTGTGAGGCACAGGTATCAACATCGCCGCGTCCGAACAAGTCTACAGGTGAGTGAGGCAGTCCCCAAACGGCAAGTCCCCCCCCCGCCGTCTGGGTCTCCAGAGGTCTCCGTTTCTGGAGATCCCCAGGGGCCACCCAGCCCTCGGAGGCCCACTCAAAAGCCAGACGCGTCCAAAAACCTTGGGGGTCCTGGAACCTCGATCCCTCCCCGCCCTCGAAATCCGCTCAAAACCGATCCCGGGACCCCGCACCCCTCCCTGGGCGCATCCCGTTTTTCATCCCCGATCGATCTCTGAGGGTCTTGGGGCCCGAAGCGGGCCCTTGGGAGGCCGAGAGTGGGGGACGATCTCCCCTGACCCCTCGCGTCGTGACCAAGGTTACGACGGACAGTTTTGACCTTTCTCGGCCCCCGGCGGCCCTCACGGAGCCCGGAGAGCGTCAACCAAACGGCTTGGTAGAGGAAGCCTGCCCAGGAGAGGGGGCCGAGACCTGTGAGAGTCCACGCCCTGGAAAACAGCACGACGTCGCGGGTCTGGGTCTTCGACCTCCCCAACCCGGCGGCCTTGCCTCCCCGATCCTCGGACAGCTGGCGCTTCGATGTTTGTTCGATGCGTGGGCCCCCTGGACCTCTCAAATCAGATCAGCCGCCTCGATTTTTCAGAGTCGCCGGATGTCAGGCTCGGGTATTAGCTCTCCGTCCTGCCAGAACTGCTGCCAGGCACTCCCTTGAAGAGCAGGACTTGGGCACTGTGAGATCCTCAGAGCTTGAGCCAAATCGATCCTCGATCTCCTCCATGCTCGATGCTCGATCCTCGATCCTGGTGGCGGCCTTGCCTCATCATCCCAGAAGGGGAAGAACGACATGTGCATAAACTTTCAGAGGTCCGCGCCGATATCGTGGTCGGTGCTGGACGCCCTCTCCTGGCACACTTCGTGCGCCAGGGGCGGCGCCTGAGGCGCCGCCGAGGGGGTCCTACGCAGACCCAAGAAATCCGTGCGGACCTCCGAAAGCTCATGTTTTCCCCCCACGTCCAAAGTGGGGTTCTTGTTTTCTCTGCCCCCCCACCCCCCCGCGCAGTCCTCACACACATCCTCTCACACCCCCTCTCCCCTCCCCTCACCATGTTCCGGCACTCTCATCACCATCATCGTCATCAACGCAGCCTCATCGTCACCACTATCATACAATCACGACCATCGGTCATCCTCATCAGCATCATCATCATCATCAGCAGCAGCAGCATCATCAGCATCATCATCAGCAGCATCATCATCATCAACATCAACATCTCTGTCGTCATCATCATCATCAGCATCATCCCTCGTCGACATCATCACTTTCAGATCATTCTCACCATCATCATCATCGTCATCATCATCGCCATCATTATTTTCATCAACATCACCGGCAACATCAGCATCATCACCATCACCAGCACCATCACCATGACCATCATCGACACCGCTATCATCATCATCATCACCACCATCACCATCGTCATTATCCTCATCACCTTTAACACCACACCTTATTTTTACACTCACCATCACCACTCCAATATCATACCTCGTCGTCATCATCACTCTCACAGCACCATCAGCATCATCATCATCATCATCGTTAGCATCATCATCATCATCATCACTTCATTATCATCTTCGTCATCAGCAACATCACCATCAGCATGATCATTATGACCATCACCACCATCATCATCATCACCATCGTCATCATCATCTTCTTCATCATCATCATCGACACCATTAGCATCACCAGTATCATCATCATCAGCATCAGCATCAGCATCATCTCCATCATTTGCATCAATATCATCACCACCATAAGCAGCATCATCAACATTATGGTCACAACTATCAACATCATAACCGCCACCATCTTCATCATCACCATCATCGCTCCGTCATATCATTAGCATCATCACCATCCTCATGCTCATCACCATGATCACCACCATCTTCTTCATACCATAACCATCATCGTCATCGTCGTCATCATCAGCATCAACCTCATCATCATCACCATCCATCATCATCACCACCATCATAATCATCCTTGCCGTCGTCGTCGTAATCAGCATCATCATCATCATCATCATCATCATCATCATCATCATCATCATCATCATCTTCACCATCATCATCATTGCATGCGCACCTTGAAGTCGGCGGTGCAGAGGAGCCTCAGGCGCGGTCGGCAGGTGGAGGTGCCAAGTGCGAACGATCTTAGTCGAACGCACCATGAAGAACGAATCCAGCCATGGCCATGCAAATAGTAGTGGGGAAAACGGGAGGCCCTGTAAAGGCAGCGTGCAGCGGCCAAAGAACCCGCGGAACGGAAGCTCTACGCGGGAAGTTGGAAGCGCAAACAGCAGTTTGCTGCTAATTTAAGCCAGGGGCAACAACAAATATTGTAAGGCCGCTTGACCAGCCGACTGGGTGGCCGTTGCGAACGCACAGGGGACTGCGCGACAAGGTAGCGCCACCGACCTTGCAGCGGGCAAGGACCACTGAAGGTAATCGTGCCACGAAGCAAGAGGTCTGCGTGACAAGGGTGATCGAGCGGCCAAGGCTGGCATAGCCCTGGACAAAGACAGAGGGGAACGCGGGCGGCTGCGAGCAGCAACAGCGGTACGGCGGCGCAAGTGGGTGGTGGACAGGCGCGAGTATGGCCGACGTGCAGTGCAGACGCCAGCGTTGAAACAGTAACCCCAAACGCAACCAGAACCGCGAGGAATTACCATGATGGGGGACCACGTAGCACAAGACGGACTGCGTGCGTCACCGCAAAGGTCGCACCATTCCGACCAACAGGCGACAGAGAAAAAAGGAAAGCGAGCAATGCGAACCCGCCAACGGGATACGCCAACACTCAGACTGTGACAGACCTCCGCGGTGGGGACGACCCAGAAGAAGAGAAGGGAAAGGGGGGGAACGCAGAAAACGCAAAAGCAAAAGAGGAGCTCGAAGAGACGACGGCGGAAAACCCCGCGATGCGGCCGACCCGCGAGACCGACGACGGGGAGGAGGGGGCCGACGAACCACCGCGGAGAACGCTGCCTGCAAACGAAGCTGACATACAGCTTAAAAAGTGCCAGCAAAAACAGCGGACTGCAGCTCCAGGTGCGGACGCCCACGCCCACGTGCGACGCCAGGTAGCAAAATTTCAACAGGTCGCGGCCATGATGGCCCGCGTACCATGCCAGGGCGCAAGCAGCAAGGCGGTAATGCCGCCGCTGGTCAAGCTGACAGACGGAGAAAGTCGCCGACCGCGAGGAGTACCCGACGAGATTACCGCGCGCACCCGAGCGGGCGCAATTAAACCAGTGCCCCGACCAACGCATGAGGTGTTTGGCGCCGCCCAGCAGAGGGCCCGGAGGTGCCCGGGAGAACCGACCCACCGGGGCGACCGACGGGCCCTCCCCCCTAGGGCGTAAAGGAAGTATAGGACTTGGCCAAAAGAGGGGCAGCGTGGCGCAGAGGCCGACGCCTGGTGCAGAAGACCGACGGAAGCGAAGGCGCTACGACGCAGGAGTGGAGCGCAAGAAGCCAGTGCAAGGGCAACATGGGCGGTGTCGGCAAGGCAAGACGCGGGACAGTCCCCAGGTACAGGCCAGCAGGGCGGCCAAAAGGTCCTCGCCGCCTGAGGCGACGAGACGCAAAAGCGGCAAGGCCCGCCAACAGTTCCGCGGGGCAGGCCACGGGCACTGGGGCGCGAAGACAAAGCCCGCAACGCCAGCAGTCACCGCGCGGAGTGAGGACAAGGGCAGAGAGCGACGACCGGCGATTTCGCAACTTCGCAAAAGGCTCTAGCAAGGACGTGCAGTGGCGCGCAGGGAAGAGAGTAGAAGGGGCAGGAAAACAGGGCGGAGCGAGGGGGGCACTCCCGGCAGCACCGCCGCACCAAACACGGGCACGGGTAGCCCTCGAATCATTTATTTTGCAGAGCATGGGTGGGGGCAAGGCGTGGCCTCAGAACAGCTCGCATATCCATTCGCAGCTCGATGTCGCTTTCGAATCTGGGAGAGACCGGCCGAAAAATAGGGGTGGTGAACATGGGCGAAAGCGAAGTGGGCCACGGCAGAAATGGCGTTCGCCTTCCATGACGCACAGCGGCGTGCGTTGCCCAGGAACCCATACTTCGCTAGGCATCCTCCTGATGGCATGGCAGCCTTTGCGCCCTGCCGTCGTGGCCAGGCCGCAGTCCGCACGTGGCCTCACCGACATCCTTCGAGCAGCTTCGTAGAGGAGCTGATTGCGCCTGATGTGCGCTACCTCCTCGGCAATGACGCGCTGCGAGACGCCGCGAAGGGAGCTGGTAGAAATGGGGCGACAGGCCTGGCGAAGACCCCTGCGTGCACAGCGCGTGCATATGCCACCAAAGCAGGTTTCGAAAACTGGCGTCCTCTGCCTTGGCAGCCACTATTCGGATGGGATGAGACCCGCTGCGTAACGATGCGTATCTCCCCGGAAAAATCGGCGTGCGTGGTTGGCAGTCTCTTTGAATTGCGCCCGCGCAGCCTTTGGAAGGCCTCAGAGCCACGGAGCACGTACGGTCGCAAAAGCCATCGATAGTGATCGGCTGCCTCTGAGGCTTTGAGGACAGCGAGGGCTATCGTAAGGGGGTGCGAGCCGCGCCTTGCGCCTGAGTCTCCGGGGCTCAGCGACGGTCGCGCTCGGCCTTGAATCGGCTGGTGCGATGAGGGGTCCGATCTCTTCCGTGATTCCCCCGCCGCCAGGGAAAGGCCGCCCGCGTCGTGGACTAGGCGCTAAACTCCTAGTATTCCGCATGCAGATGATGGGCATTGATGAAAGCCCGTAGCCGCGCAAAGCCGAGTCGCCAAGGGTCCTTGACCGCCGAAGCAATCCTGTCCGATCGGTGGTGGGTGTTTGTCATGCGGTCCCACGTAGATTTCCAATCGGGTGTGCCGCGCTCCACGCTGGTGTTCCGCCAGATATACTTAATGAATGCAGCAAGTTTCGGCTGGGTGTGTACCTCTGGTGCTGGTTCCCACGTGGGCGGCTCTGCGCGTCGGGGCCCCTGGTCGACTGGTGGGCGGTCTCGCTGCCGCTTGCCCTCAGTGCGTGCCGCCCCATGACCCCTTGCCCGCTGGATGGCCTCCCTGCGCTCATTGTTGGCACCTGCCCAATCCCATCTTAACGCGCTGCCGTCAGTGTATTGGCCCGCGCGGTGGAACGCTTTCCCAAAGGGTGACCAGTTAAGCTCCCGTGCTGATATCGCGGTCCTGGGGACCTCGGTGCCCCTTGCTAGCGGAGCGGTGCGTTCTGGATGCTGATCGGTAGTGTGTGTGTGTGTGTGTGTGCGTGTGTGTGTGTGTGTGTGTGTGTGTGTGTGTGTGTGTGTGTGTGTGTGTGTGTGTGTGTGTGTGTTCCGTGAGAGTACGGCGGTGCGTAATCGCGCAGGCCCCCCGCCCCTGGACTGCGCGCACCTTCGCGTCGAAGAGGCGAAGCCAGTAGTTGTGCTTCTTACTTTTGTTGGTCCAAACCTGTGTTTGCGACGAGTTCGTCACCGATGTGGGCTGCCCGGCGCCCCCCAGTGGAGATGCGTTTGTCTCTCGCGCCGATGAGGTGGGCCACCGCGTCCGCGAGTGCTCGCTGTGTTCTGCAGAAATGGAGGGCGGGGTGCTAGCCCGCCTGGGTCCAACCACGGGGGTGGAGTGCGGGCTGGGCGCTCTGATTCTCGTCCGACGCCCAGTTCCCAATGTTGCTCGCCTTTCTGATGTCGGAACTGTCCTGCGCTGCGTCTCGCGCAACCGGGAGCATGTGCATGTGGGCTTTGGGGCCCATGTGGCGAAACCGCTCTAGCAAGGCCTTCAGCTCCCTGGCGTTCACCCTGCTGCAGTGCGCGTCGTTGCATGTCTGAGCATATCCGCCCAGCGCAGGATGCTCAGCTGTAGGGGAGCGGGGGGTCATATCCCGAGTATCCTCCGTCGCTGCCGTGGCCAGTTCCTGGGGCGCGCCTGGAAAGTCCCGCAGTGCGCCATTGGCTAACCTGGCCAGGAAGCCGTCTAAGATTATGACTTCATTGTGGTATGGGTCGCTTCCCCTGCGCAGCGACCGGTCGTCCGTGATGTGGTGCCGCCAGGCAGCATTGTTGCCGCCAGGCAGCATCGAGGGGGCCGTGCACCTGTCCTTCTTGCATTGTCTCCACGATCAGCCACCTCGCGCACTGTGCCGGTGTGCGATGCATGGGATCAAAGCGGTCCTTCCTTGGGCGTCCGTTCAGGGGCATTTCATCCAATTGATCGGTGATTCGGATCCGATTGGTCGACGGGTCCCGCCTGTGGAGCGACGGATCACAGAAGCGCTGCTCTGGGGTGGGACCGTGTGCGCAATGCTGCCTCCGCCCGCTCGCGTGCGAAGGGTGCATCCGCGGCAGAGTGCGATGGGCCCTCGCCAGGTCAAGTCGCACCCAGATTGGCTGATCTGGGACCAGGCCCGTTGTGCTGGGAGCGAAGCTCCACCGGGCCCCGATTTCTTCCTGCGCCCCAGCCGCCCGCGCTGTGGCAGCCGAGGAGGTCCTCTTTGCGCGGCGCTGCAATCCTGTCTTCCTTGTCGTGGTCTTTGCCGCGACGAAGCCTTGGCGACCGAGTGAATCAGGCGCCGGGTGAGTTAGGCACCGGGTGAATTAGGCGCCGGGTGAGTTGGGCGTTTGGTGAGGTAGGCGCCGTGTGAGTTGAGCGCCAGGTGAGTTGGCGACCGGGTGAGTTAAGCACCGGGCGAATTAGTCACCAGGTGAGTTGAGGCCAGGTGAATCAAGCGCCGGGTGAGTTAGGCGCCGGGTGAGTTGAGGCCAAGTGAATTAACCGCCAGGTGCGTTGAGGCCAGGTGAGTTAGACCAGGTAAATTAAGGATCGGGTGAGTTAGACCAGTTGAATTACGGGCCGGGTGAGTTAGGCGCGGGTGCGTTTTGGGTCGGGGGTGAGTTAAGGTTCCGGGTGATTTAAGGGTCGGGCGAAATAGCGTTGTTTCATTGGGGGTATGGTCTTGGGTCCTGCCTCGTGCGCCGCGTAGGCTTGTTCCTCCCTCCTCTTCCTCCTCCTCCCCCAATTTTTTCCCTCATAAACCACCCGCCCCTGTCGCGCCCCCAGACGTGTCGGTAGGGCGGGCGGGCAGTTCGCCTGAGACGTCCCCGCTATTCACGATCCTGAAGCTTAGGAATTTGCAACAGCTTCACGGATGGAGGGTGGGTTGTTTCCAAACTGTGGCTCTCGTCGTTGGCGCCGAGTATATTCGTCTCAAAAGATTGCATCCGTTTCTTGGATTGAAAGTAGTTCTTAGCCAACATGCGGCCCTCGCCTCAGCGCTGCGCACGTGGTTTCAAAGCTTGCAAGAGTTTTACGGGTGGAGGGCGGTTCATTTTCAAAATGTGGTTTTCGAATCAGTGCCGCGCGTATCCGCTTTCAGAAGATACAAGAGTTTCACGGATGGTTGAAAAAGTTGCTCTCGCCCCAGCGCCGCGCGTATTCGTTTTCAACGTTTACGGCAGCTGGTACAATTCTTATGGTTTATGTCTCAGGAGTGAGTATTTGGCATGATGTAGGGTTGTCAGGGCGCAACAGTCATGTTAACTCGCGGTCTTGAAGACCCGAGAACAGTTTTCTGATTCGATTCAGGGTCGTTAGGGCCTAACAGTGACGTTGATCCATGGCGTTGAAGTTCTAGGATTATCGTTTTTGTTGGACGGTTAGGGATTTCAAATTGGATGTCTTCCAGCGGGGCACTTTCCGCAATGAAGATGATTTAGGTGCCTGCGAGCAGGAGACTTAGAGGTATGGTTCATTGCAACATCGTTGGTGTGTCCTTGGTTTTCACTGGTCTTCCTCCTACCCCTCGTCTTTTTCCTTCGGCATGTGCGCTCGCATCCCACCCTCCTCCATGCCCCTGCCTGGCTGCGCCCCCAGGCGCAGCCGAGCTCGCCTCAGCGGCGCGGGCCCGCCTGGGTGCCGCGGCGGCCGAGGGCGGCGAGGCGGCGGCGCTGGCGGCGGGCGCGGCGGGGCGGGGGTTCTCCATGGGGCGCCAACCATTGGCGGCGTCGAGGAAAGGGGGTGAGGAGCACTGGGGCCCAGGAGGAGGGGTGGAGGACCAAGGGGTGGTGAGGACCAAGGGTGAGGACTGGGGGGGCCAGGGGTGGGTGGGATGATTTGGGGGCTGAGGACCAAGGGGGGGGAGGATAAGGGGGGGGGGTCAGGATTTTAGGGGGAAATTGGGCGGATGAGGGGGGGGGTGAGGACAAGGGAAGGCCGTTCCTGGGGCCCAGGATCGGCCCAGCCAGGATCGGTGCGGGTGTACAGTTGGCGTCCTCCCAGGCTCGCCGCTGCGGATGCCGCGGCGGACGCGCTGAGCGCCGGGCTCATCGCGGCTGCTCTGGAGGCTCGCCTTCCCTTCCAGGTATCCGACGGAGTGTTTTTGATCGCGGCGTTTTTCCTCACCCTTTCGTCACTTAGGGGCCGCTTGCGAGCCTCGGGAACATCAAGAGCCGATCTGGGACGAAAAGCTGCTCTTGGGGAAGGGGTCGCGACCTCTGGGGCCTTCGGCCCATCCCGCCAGCGTGCCTGGATCGTTGACCAGGGGCCTCAGGTAGGCCTCTCGGGGTCACTCGGAGGGCATCTTTGAGGGCGCCCCGGGGGCCCGTTGGAGACCTCCCGGGGCCTCCTGGGGGGCTGTTTCGGGCCTGGACGCGATCTCGAGGCTCATGTTGGGGTGGAGGGCTCCAAATGTCAGTTCATGCGCTTCTCCTTCGTTTGGGCTCGAGGATTGGGAAGAACACGCCGTCGGACGTCTGCGCCATCTCCCTCTTCGGCCGCCGTGCCGCCAACGCTGCTGCTCCTCCCTTCAGCGCGTGCTTCTCCCACAGCACGCCGGAGGATGGAGCTTTCGTCTTTGTGGGTCGGCGTCTTTTCACCCTCTTCCCTCCTTCCTTCTCTCCCCTCGTCCGTCCACCATCCTCTTCCCTCCACCTCCTCCTCTTCCCTCGCCCCACCTGTCGCCTTCTCCTCCTCGTCGTCGTCGTCGTCGTCCTCCTCCTCCTCCTCCTCCTCCTCTATCCGTTTTCCTTATGAATACCTCCTCCCAGTCGCACCCCCAGACGTGTCGGTAGGGCGGGCCGGGCGTTTCGCCTGAGGCTTCCCCGCCATGTTTGGTCCTGAAGCTCAAAGAATTAGCAACAGTTTCACGGATGGAGGGTGGATGGTTTTCAACATGTGGCGCTCGGTTTCAGCGCCGCGCACATTCGTCTTGAAAGTTGGTATTCGTTTCACAGATGGCTACGTGTTCGACCATGGACCCTTTGTTAATACGAAATATCCTGCTTTCACACCGATGACCGACGAAGACCGCCGCAAACCGTGTCGGGCCGCCGTCCAGACCGAAGACCGCCGAAAGACCGCCGAAGACCGCCGAAGACCACCCAGAGACCGCCGAACACCGCCGAACACCGCCGAAGATCGCCGAAAGACCGCCGAACACCGCCGAAAGACCGCCGAAGACCGCCGAAAGACCGCCGAGGACCGCCGAAGACCGCCGAAGACCGCCGAAAGACCGCCGAAGACCGCCGGAGACTGCGTCGGGCCCCAACGCTCGTGGCGGGGCGCGCGCCCGCTGGCGGTTTTCGCTGGTCTTTCGGCGGTCTTCAGAGGCCAAGATGCGTGGCGAGGGGTCCATGATCGAACGCGTAACATCGGATGGAGGGCGGATGGTTTTCTCTCGTCTTCAGCGCCGCGCAAATTCGTTTTGATAGTTTGCATCCGTTTCTTAGATGGAGGGCGGTTCATTGTGAAAATATGGCTCTCACCCCAGCGCGGCGCACATTTGTCTCAAACGTTTGCATCAGTTTCACGGATGGAGGGTGGGCTGGTTTCAAAACCTGATTCTCGTCTTAGCGTCGCGCACATTCGTTTTCAAAGTTAGCGACAGTTTCATGGATGGATGGCGGGCCCCTTTCAAGATGTGGTTCTCGCCATAGGGCTGCGCACAGTCGTCTTTAAACGGGTGCAATCTCAAGGATTCGTATGATCAAAGTCCCAAGGAATAGTGTTTTGGCACGGTTTCGGTTTGCCAGGACTCAGCAGCCTCATTGATTCGTTGTGTCGAAGTCCCAGGAATGGTGTTCTGGCACGGTTTAGACTTGTCAGCACGCAACAGTCGCAGGAACTATGCTTTGGCACGATTGATGATTCTCCGACGATTGTCTTCTAACAGACCACTTCCCGCAATGATAATGGCTACTTTAGGGTCGTAAGGGAGAGTTTCTTGCAACATCGGTCATACATCTTTGTTTTAAACTAGTCCTCTTCCTCCTCCCTCGCCTCCTCTCGGTCCTCCTCTTCCTCCTCCGCCCTCCTCCTCCTCCTCCTCCTCCTCCTCCTCCCCCTCCTCCTCCTCCTCCTCCTCCTCCCCCTCCTCCTCCTCCTCCTCCTCCTCCTCCTCCTCCTCCTCCCCCGCCTCGTCTCTCTCTGGGGCCCCCTCCTTCGCCGTCTAAGGGACGCCGCGGAGGCCTCGAGTGCTGCCGGGGGCCTCGGAGCAGTCGACCTCGTACAGGGTAGCTGGTGTGCTCCGTGCTGGCAGCGCCGCCAGGCGATCGTCCAATACTATGCGCAACTTTGCTCCGCCATGCCGATGTCGCACCCCCCCCTCTCTTCTGTGCAGCTTCGCCTCGCCCAGCGCCGTGCACGAATCGCCGTGCGCGAGGCCACCCAGGAGGGTCGTCGGCCCAAGATGCAAGGCCTCTATGCGCGCACCCTTGCGAGTCTTGCCTATCCCGATAAGCTTGAGCTCCTAATTGGGCGGCGCCTGCGGTCCTGGTTCGATTGTCCTGCCCCCCGAAACATGCGAGTTCGATGGGACCTGGTGCGGGAAATCCTGCGCCGGGCCCCTCCGAGCATTCGCTGGCCGTACCTCAAGACCATTTCGGGGGGATGGACCACCACGGGCCGAATGCACGTTACAGATAATTTATGGAGCTGTGTTTTCGGATGTTCGCACTCCGATAGCATAGCACACTATTTAAAGTGCCCCCGCCTCACTCACCTCGTTTGTCGTCCACGTGCTGTCGTCTCGCCGTGTCCCCTTCTCCGCCTCGGTCTTGGTCTCCCTACGCAATATCCGGCATTTGACCTCACCCGGGAGAATGCTATTTTAGCAACGGCTCTCAGTTTCTATATCTACCACGTTGCCAAGGAGATGGCTTCGCATCAAGACGGACGCCCTTTAACTCTCCCGCAGCAGCTCGATGCTTTGAAAGCGGCATTGGCCAAAATGCCGAGCAATTACTCGATTCTACCCCCTCCGCCCAATGCGGCTAGGCTATACAGCTGGCTCAGTCCGAGGCGTCGAGGCTGAGCTCGACCGACTCGCTGAAGCTACTGGCGCTCCTCCCCCGCCTCGTTTTCGTGCTTCTTCTCCTTCTCTTTCTTCTTCTTGTTCTCCTCCTCCCCTTTCTTCTTTTCCTTTCCCCGGGTACTCCCCCTCCTCCCCCGCCCCCCTTCTGCTCCTCCCTTCATCCTGATTGCCTTCCTTCCTCCCCCTTCATACTTCTGCTCTTCCTCAAGCTCCTTACTCCCCCTCTTATTCCTCCTGCTCTCCCTCCTCCCCCTCCCCCCCTTCTCCGTCTGCGGGGCTCTCGCCTCAATGGAATGGCAGGCTCACTAGGTGCTCGTCTTTCCAGGGAGCGCTTCACTCAGTGAATGCTTGTCAGCTTGGGCTTTGACCCCAACAAGGGAGTTAGCGCGCAGTGGATGTGCAAGCTATGTGCTCTGTGGCGCAGGCAACGTGGTGCAAGCTACCTGGTGGAAGAACGCGGTCACATTCAGACTGTGCAAGTTATGTGGCGCAGTTCGGGTGCTGCAGCACGGGTTGTACAATGCACGTGTTGTGGCTGTGTTGTGCAAGCTACGTGGTGCAAGCTCCGTCTTGCAAGTTCGGCGGTGTATTAGATGTGTTGCAATAGTTTTTGGCTGCGATCTAAGCTATGTGTTGTATTTTTGGTTGTGCCAGCTATGTGGTGTAAGCTCTGCGGTAGAAGCTATGCGGTGCAGGCTGTGCGGTCTACGCCGTGTGGTGCAGCCGCCCGAGGCGGCCGCGATGCGGCCACGAGGTGGCCGCGGGGCGCCACGGGGCGGCCACGGGGTGGCCACGGGCGGCGCCCTGGCAAAAGAGCCCTTGTAACGCCAGCCAGCACAGGGCGGCGACGAGGCGGCGACTAGAGACGGCGACGAGGCGGTCACGGGTGTCGACCAGGCGAAACCCTGGAGACGCCAGCCGCTTACTTGCGACAGTCATAACCCCTTAGTGCCTTAGTGCAGGCACCGGACGGGTGGATGCAGTGCAGCACCGTGGATGCATCCTGGCTTTGCTCCTCCTCCGTAGCCGTTTTGGCTCCAGAAGGGCCAGCGCGGGCGGCCCTGGCGTGCGCAGAGAAGCGGCGGTCGTCGCCATGCCCGCGCGGCTGCCGCTGCGCCCTGACAGTCGTGGCAGAGGGCCGCGGCGGCGGGGGCACCCTGCGGTCCGATGCTCCTGTCTGCCAGGAGGCACGCCTCTCGCTGGCGGCAGCGCGGCTGCGGGGCGGGCTTCGAGGGGGAGGCGGCCCGCCTGCAGACGCGGCTGCTCCAGGAGCTCGGGAGCAGCGCGGTGGGCGCGAGAGGGGCGCTGGAGGCGGCGGGGCGGCTCGTGCGGGAGGGGCTGCTGCTCCACGAGAGGCAGCTCGTCGCCGCGATCTCGGGCTTGCGGCGGCGCGGGCTGTGGGCAGCTGCGTGCTCTTTGCTCGACGAGGCTCGCGAGCGGTCTGGCCTGGCGCGCAACGCAGTCGCGTACAACGCCGCGATGGACGCGTGCAGGAGGGGCCAGGCCTGGCGGCAGACCCTGCTGCTGTTGGCGGATATCGCTGCACGGAAGGTCAGTCCCGACGTGGTCAGTTTCAGCACCTGCGCAGCCGCGTGCGAGCGGGGCAGCGCCTGGGAGCTGGCGTTGTTGGCGCTGCTGCGCCAGTGCCAGCAGGAGGCCGGCATCGCCCTCGACCAGAAGGGCTTCACGGCGGCCCTGGGCGCCTGCGCAAGGGGTGGGCGCTGGGTGCTCGCCCTCGAGCTGCTGGAGGACATGGAGCGGTGGGCGCTGAGCCCAGATCTGATCTGCTGCAACAGTGCCATCCGCGCGTGCGGCTCTGGGCTCGCGTGGGAGCAGTCGCTCCATCTCCTGGAGTCTCTGCAGAACCGGAGCTTGTCGGACCCGGTCAGCTACAACACCGCGGTCGGCGCCTGCGATGCCGCGGGCAGGTGGACGCAGTCGCTGGAGATTCTCCAAGACATGCGACGGCGTGGCGTGCGACGCACGGTAGTAAGCTACAACGCAGCTGTGAAGGCCTGCTTCCACGCCAGCGG